GGTCAGACAGCAACCTTGTGAGAGTCAGCACAAGAGATTAGCTCTCTAGGCTGGGTTAGTTAGCAGAAAGAACTCTAGGGTAGAGTTTGTTAATAACCCAGGGACTGCCTAGGATAGGTTAGTCAGAACTCATTACTATTTCTCTGAAGTAGAGTGAGGGTTTTTGGTACAAAGAGTCAGAATCTGTTTGGTTAGATCTGTCTGTAACTAAGTGAAGAGAATTATGCAAGCAACCATCAAGCTGAAGTACTTTTGTAACAAGTCACACTTTTTGTACCTCTCAGAAGTAGTTTGTTGTCTGTTTTTATAAATAAATCTTGTTCTATTTAACTTTCAAAAGATCTCTACTGTGCATCATTCAATCATCCAAGCCTTTGTGATAGTTCCAGCATTTTAAACATCTTGATACTACAGAAAAGCCGCCTAAGAAACAGTTATTGTTGGGAGCCAGTGGGAAAAGCAGTGTGGGCAGGAGTGGGAAAGGTTTACCTCAAATACTTTTTAGAAATCCAAAAACAATTTAGGTTGGTAGCAGCTTTAATCTGCAAGAAAGTTTAAAGTCAAGCAGTGTTCACTCTACCATAACACTTATCCATCATCGTTTCGCTACTCTATCAGGGACATTCGTGTGGGATATATTATACATTCCTTTATAGTGGTGTCCAGCGGCGTGATATTTGGTGATATATTATATGTGGATCCTTTATAGCAGCTGTAGGCTAAGACAACCAGATGGGCTGAGTGGTCATTCTCCGAAAGCACAGCAGAAGCACCAGGGTTTTAGAGAAGGGCCTCTTCAGAAGATCAAAGAAATCATGCAGGTTTGTGGTAGGAGATAATCTGGGATCAGATCCTGGGATATAGGGCAGTGTAGAAGGGCCCCCAGATACATGCTTGTGTTTATGTGCATAGATGGGAAAATTTCCGTAGAAAAATATAGCATTAGACTGTTTTCTATATAAAATCTTCAACCACACATTTCTGGACCTCACAACCTCTGTGGAATGCTTGCCATAGATGCAGGCAAAACGTCAGGAGAGAATGCTTCTAGAACATGGCCATATAGCCCGAAAAACCTACAACAACCCAGTGATTCCAGCCATGAAAGCCTTCAACAATACATTTACCATATTACAATTCCCTTCTTACATCACTTTTCTCCAAATCTATACATGCCCTCCCAACCCCCAACATCATTCATACAGTGTTATAAAAATACAGCTCTCTCAGTTCTACTACTTTTACTTACTACTTATTCTAATTTCACTAATTAGTATAATATATTTTCTAGTTGTGAATTCTCAATCTTTTTTGGTCATTTGGTGGTTTGAATTCACCATTGCTTTTAAACATAAAGCCGAGAAATGGTTTTCTTATATGATCAAACAGATCTTCCATTATTTCTCTTTTTGCTAATCTTAATTTGTAGGTTAACTACAATATAGGATTTTTATTTATCTAGTTTTTATTCTTATTTCAAATACTGAAACCATTAGTAGAGCTCCCCTGAATTGTACTGTGTCCTTCATTATTTGCCACTTGCATTATCAAGGTTTGATCAGTACCCAGACTTTCATCTCCACAGGAACTGATCTTCTGAAAAGCTGACTATAAAATCCCCATTCCAGAACATGCTGTCTCAAAATATTTTGCATGACAACAGGGATAACAATGTATTTTGCTGTGAAAATCCACTCCTTCTCTATGTCAAGATGGTCATAAACTCAGAGGAAGTGCCAAGGTCACAAGCAAATAGGTTGCTGTCCCTTCTGATAAAAAATGTCCCGGCTTTCTTCCCATCCCCTCTGAGCAATGGTTCAGCAACATCACTTGTCCTTAGCTTGAGCCTTAATAGCAGGCATGGGAAAACATTTTTGCTTTGGGGCCACATTGTGGGCCTGACCAAGAGGGCTGGGCCGAGAGAGAGGGCATGCACTGGATGGGACGGGCTCGGGAGGGAGAGGGCCTGTGAGAGGATGGTGCTGGGAGGGGATGGGGCAGGGCTTGGATCATCCTCAGGTTGTCCTTCTGGAATAAGGATGGGGTTGCTCCCTCCAAGAACAATGGTAATGGCCAAGAAGTCTGGAGGGTTCTCAACCACTGCGTGCCTTCCTTGGGCCTCGGCATAAGGATGGGGCCGTTCACACCGTCCTTATACCAGGATGAGGGCAAGACATGCGGTGGCTGAGAACGCTCCAGAGGGCTCTCAGCTGCTCTGTGCCTTCCTCCCCCATCCTTTCTGTATAAGGATGTGGCAGGCCACTGTGTCCTTATGCTAAGAGGACAGGGGAAATGAGGAGGGCCTGAAGTAAGCGCCCAGGGGGCCACATCTAGCCCCCGGGCCTTAGTTTACCCATGTCTGCTTTATAGGAATGTCTTCATCAGAATTCTGATATACGCTACATGTGCAGCGAACTACTAGTAGTTTCCTTTGGAGAGGCTAATGCGGAAATATTTTGACATTTCTGACAAGCCTCATTACACTAAAGAAGCCGCTTGGTTTGTCAGCCTGTGGGAAGCAGCAGTGCCCAGAGGCAGCTGAACTATCTTAGTAAAGGGATATTTAATTATCCTCCAGGGTGGGAGACATGCAGATTTCTCTACCCGCCTTCCCATCACACACACATTAGAGACAATTGAGAAGTCCCACCAAAAATAATGGAATGACAACAAGAAGTGCATAAGTCATTGGGAATGACAACTGTACCTTCCGGTTCATTTATCTCCTGACTGCTTCCTGCACATGGAATAAGGCCAGTCTTTTTGCCCTGATCATGCAAGGGAAGAGGTCAAACTAGGGTGGCGCAGCAAGACAGAGGAATCTCCCAGTTTTCCCTCTAAGCACTAGACTACATTTCAAAATGCCAGTCATTGCACTCAGATGCCACAAACTAAAAGAGTTAAAAAGAGATGCCAAAGGGAGAATGAAGTATTCTAAAGTGGCACACAGTTATGTAGTGTCTAGATTGAGAGAAGTCCTAATCCCACTCTTCTCTTTTGGTTAGGCCTCACCTGGAATAATATTGCGTCCAGTTTTGGGCATCACAAGTCAAGATGGATCTTGACAAGCTGAAATGTGTCCAGAGAAGGGCGATCAGAATGATCAAAAGTCTGGAATCCAAGCTCCATAAAGAGCTACTTAGGAAGCTGGATAATGTATTTAGCTTGGAGAAAAGAAGGTCAAGAGGAGGCAAACTGGCCATGTTTAAATATTTGAAAGGATGGTCATATTGAAGTGAGGGCAAGCTTGTTTTCTACTGCCCAGGAGACAAAGGCATAGAGAAATGGATTCAAACTGCAAAGAAAGAGCTTCCACCTAAACATTAGGAAAAACTTCCTAATATTAAGAACTGTTTGACAATGGAATATGTTGCCTTGGAGTGTCTTGGAGTCTTCTTCTTTGGAGGTTTGAAAGCAGAGGCTGGATAGCCATCTGTCAGCAATGCTTTGCTTGTGTGTTTTTGCTTGTCATGAGGATGGACTAGAGGGCCCTTGGGGTCTCTTCCAGCTCCATGATTCCATGATTCCATAAACCTATCCACCCCAAATAGTCTTCAAATATAATGCCTTAGGTTTTGAGTTGCAATCAGTTCACACTTTTAGCTCCTGGATAACAACCCAACCACCAATACCTCACAAATGAAAATGGGGACAGATATAAGCAAATGGCATTAGAAGGTGGTCAAAATGACAAAAAAAACATCAGCAAAGACAAACACACAAGCTAAGAGATGCTGCAGCAGTTTGTTTTTGCCTGAGCCTAGTGGGAAGAGAAAGATTTCTCCCCTTTCTCTCCTCTGTGTTGAATTGAGTGCAAACAATTTTGGAGCAATTTAAGAAAGCTGAAGATAAAGGGGAAAGAGGAGTGAGAAACTGGACCATTTGAAAAGCAGCTGAAAAAGAGGGATGATAGAGGATTAATCAGGACTGTCCTTGCCAAGTTGGGACTGTTGGAGGGTATATCGTAGTCCAAAATGAAATGTTCATATCTCAAAATGAACTCTTTAATTGTTCATGGTAATGATTTATGAGGATTTTTCAATATGAGTCTTGCCATCTACAAATTAAATATCTTAATTAAATATTCTTTTCAGTTGTATTGGATATACTGTATACTGATTGATGTATTTATATAAAAATAAGCCAGTTTGTGATGGAAAAGTAGATTGGCAGCTGTGGCTAAAATACAGCATGCCGTACAAGTACTTCATTGTTCAAAATCACAACAATGCAAGAATTGTTAACAGAGACGATGGTGCATGTCCCACCACCAAGAGAGGATATGGAAATGCTTCTGTGGCAGAAGGTGAGCCTATAGGTAACCTGGACCCAAACCATGTAGGGCTTTAAAGATCAAAAGCAACACCTTATACTTTGCCAGAAACTAATTGGCAGCCAGTGGAGTGACTTTAGGAGAGGTATAATATGCTTACTCCTAGATATTCCTGTAACCAAACAGGCTGCCATATTTTGAACCAACTGGAATTTCTGAACTTGGTACAAAGGTAGCCCAATGTAAAGCTCATTGCAGAAGTCCATCCTTGAGGTTACCAGTGCATGCACTATCATGGGCAAATATATTAACTAAATTAAAAGGTTATTTATGTCCCAGTATTCAGATGAAATGGTTTGCAAACCAATGTGCTAAACACTTTTCTGCTTTGTGCTGAAAAAAAGTGAAATTACAAACGACTCATAGTTAAAAATCCAATTATCACAGATATAGAAAGTGAGGTGAAATCTTCTGAACACAGACAGCAAAACAAACCCCACAGGGGTGTTAATCCTTCCCCATGCTATCTAAAGTTAGTTGGCTAGTTTTAGATAGAAGATAGATATCTGGAGTAACACTTTAAAAAATGTACCTGTTCCGACTTCAAAATATTCAGAGTATTCTCCTCTTAAAAGTTTTTTTTTCTTTGTAGTATTCAGCAGTTGCACTAAAAGAAAACAATGGCTGTTCTACTCAAATTTCTTTTACTTCTTTGTTTTTGTTCCAGAGCATCAGGGCATCAGGACTCATTCTCTTGGAGACTATCCTGTTTGGGTCACTGCTTCTTTATTTCCCGGTGAGTTACACTGTTAGAGTCTTAAAGGGTAAAAGACAGGCTGTTGAACTATTTCTCAGATCCACTGCTCTCCCTTTAATTGAAGAAAGTAGGAGCGGGTGTTTTCTTGCCATGTCTGCATCAGACAGAGAAGAGGGGAAACCACAGTTAGTCATGACCTTCTAACATATCCATGAGAAAAACAAGGACATGTAAATTGTAGGGAAACTCAAGTAAGCTATTGTTCTCATAGTATTTGTTATAAAGCAATCACCTTCCCACTCATGAAACAACATATATAGTCACTTGACATTCAGAAAACACACCGCTATTTTTGTTGTACATAGTACATTATGGAACAATGCAGGAAAAAGAAATCTAACTGAGAAGTTTTAGTTCTGAACACCTTTCTTAAAGAACAGATGGCCTTCCTGGAACATATAAAGGAAAGGCATTGCAAACTATTTTAGCTTATTTTTTTATCACCATGTGAACCCAGAATGTGATTACGGAAAAACAAGATAGGACCAAAAGACCCCTTGAATGCTGCATAGCAGTATTTCTCAACCTGGGGGTTATGATGTATGGCAGTATGGCCATGTTCCAGAAGCATTCTCTCCTGACGTTTCGCCTGCATCTATGGCAGGCATCCTCAAAGGTGCCTTCTGGAACATGGCCATTCAGCCCGAAAAACTTACAGCAACCTAGTGATTCTAGCCATGAAAGCCTTCAACAATTAAACAATCAGTTTTAGTTATATTATATTGAGAAAATTGGAGAATAAACATTGATTTTTGGAAAGCTGATATCACAATAGCAACTAATTAGATTTTTGGTAATATGGGTTGGATTCAACTGTTAGTTCAATTACAGAAAATTCAGAAAATTCAGGAAGTTAACAACAAAAATAAATCTCATTGATTCAATGCACTCCTTCTATTTTTATTAGTTTTATACTAATTTATGCAATGCTTTTGATATGAAATAAATAAATAAATAAATAAATAAATAGATTCGACAAGTCTTTTCTAATTTGGATTACCAATTTAACCTTATAACTGTAACTAATTACTCCTTAAAAGTAACTTCTTAACCTCTGCTCTTCCTTTCAAGTCATTTGTTTCGGATTAATTTACCAAGAACTTAAACACATTAGCCCCAATTAATGTGAATGCCACTTGGAATGTGTGCTCCCAAAACACCTGGATTTTTTCAAAATCTCATCTATTGGCTTTATTTTAGGACCTTAAGGAACTTTCTTTTTAAACATATTAATTATTATGATACTTATTAGCTGAGGGATGACATTTAAGGACACAATTTTTCTTTAATACCTGCTCCACAGTACGGCTCAAAAAAGTAATTAGAGTTTCACACTTTGATTTCCCTCTTCTCTCCCACAGTTTGTTCTCCTGTAATTAATTTTACACATCTGAAGTAGATAGAAGCTTTAATGTTATTTGAACAACTGAAAGAGCTTTCACTTGAACCAATGAGCAAATTTTAGGGTAGAAAATACAGCAGTGCTTGCTATTATTTTCATCATATTTGAACTACAATAAATTCTCCACATTTGCGGGTTTAGGGCGAGGGCCCCTACAAAAATGAAAATAACCATGAATTTAAAAATGCTATTTTTTTAACTTGAGGGATCCCCCTCTCTAGGAATTTCTAGACCTCATTGGTGGGCTTAGGTATTCTTAGGACTTCATCCCATAGGATAAGTAAAGCATTTGAAATTATTGACTTTCCCTTAAGATTTGCAATGTCCCGCTTCGAAATTAAACAGATGAATTTCCTCCAACCATCACACCTTTTTTTCCTCCACTTTCTTTAGGATTTATATGTTTGATTTGCCATCACATGGTAGAGATTTGTTTCCTCCCATTGTCTCTCCAGGATTTTGATTGTTTATCCTTTTTAAACAACACCAGATTGTATGAAGTGGTTTTAAATTAATCCTGATCTTTTACCAAGCCTCTGCATTGGTGATTGTAGGAAGTATAGTAGTTTTCACCAAGCCTCTCTATTGGTAATCATACGAAGAGGTTTAAAATGGGGGAAATTGGCATTTTGGCTCTTCACACGCATGGTGTCATTGTTTTCTTTACAAACGGGCAACAGGGATTAACATCACACAGGAAAATTGGCTATTTTGCCAGTCTTTACATGGGGAATTTAAAAATAAGTTGATTGCCAGCCACCAAAATACCTCAACCCCACAGTTGAGGCTTATGTTGTGTGAAGGATACGGTGGGTGGTCATTTCTTAAATGTGTAGAAACACTGATTTTACTGTGTGGGATGAAGTCCTTAGAGCAATCTTCTCTCTATGGTCAATATCCAGCAGAAGTGAATATAGAATTGCCATGAATGACCTAGATATTCCTAGAAATAGATTTTTTTTATCAATTCTCTGAATTGTTAAATCCACAAATGTGGAGGTCAACCATATACTTCTCGATACCTTTTGTGTGTGTGTTATGCAAGTGGTTGTTATGTACTTTTAAGTTGACTCCAACTCAAAGAGTTCCTTGGCAAGATATATTCAAGTTTCCCATGATTTTCTCTGAATCTAAGAGAATGCTTTAGCTCCAATTCTACAAGTGTATTTTATAACTAAGTAAGAATTCAAACCCTGGTATTCTGAAATGCAGGTCCATTGCTCAATCTACTACATAACATTAGTTGTACAGGTTGGGTACATGGATATGCCACCGTACAAGGAACTAAGAAACTAATTCTGTGTACTAGAAATGCATCGAGAAATGTGTGTTTCTCAAAGAGCAGCTACTCAAGTTGCATTGAAAATACTAAAAATGACTTTTTCTTTAAAAATCCAAAGGGTGCTCGCCAATGTTTCTTCTTCATTCTGGAGAGAAGTGACCATTAGGATGTCACGGGGTTCTGTCCTAACCTCCCATGCTATTCAACACTTTTATCAATGACTTGAATGATGAAATAGAGAGTACACTTATTAAATTTGCAGATGACACCATATTGGGAGGGATAGCTAATACAACAGAGGACAAGATCAGGATCTAAAATGACCTTAACAGACTAGAAAGCAGGGTCAAGACTAACAAGATCAATTTCAGCAACGAAATGTGTAGTACTACACTTAGGCACAAATATATATATATATCCACAGATATAGAATGGGTGATACCTACTTTGTGTTCAAAAAGTTTTAGGTCCAACTGTTGTCAACTCCACGTAAGAGTTTTTTGCATGTACGATTCAGCTGAAATTGCCTTATATCTGATGTCCCTTCACTTTATAGGTCATCATTTTATACTTTGAGCCAAGTGTATTTCGCTGTATTCTCCTAAGATGGGTACGTCTTTTGGGATTTACAACTGTATACGGGACTGTTACACTCAAGTTGCACAGGTACTAAACACACTCTTATTTTTATTGTTGTGTAAATTAAATGGGATTTTCCATGAGCTTAAGAAATTGAGTTAAATATAGAATTAAATATAATTTTACCATGCAGTTCAGATCATTTTCTTACTTTTGTCTGTCTGAGAAGAATACAGTAAAAACAAGATTCAGTATCTCTTTCCCCTAGTTGTAGAAGTGATAATAATAATACAATTACTGCAATCTGCCACCATTGTATATTTATATTCCCAAGTTATTAAATAGGCTATTTTCCAATGTGTTGCTTCTTGCGGACAACTGAATTTTCGATTATTTTGTTAAGTAGATGTCAGTCTGACTTAATAAAATTAAACGTATAGCCAACTGTCTTGCCAAATTGTGTCAAAATGTTTATACTGTATACATATGAAAAAAGTATCTAGCTTTTCAGTGTTAAAGAAGTATTGTCAACACACACAGATAATTTTGAACTGTATTCTGGGGATTGTCATATTTTTTCTAATGGTAATAATCACATGTAATTTAGGGAAGAATTGGTGATAAGAGGTATATTTTAGTGTTAACTTAGACAAGCAACATGTTTTACAATAATTTAAAGTAAAAGGCACATAACATTTCTATTTTCAGAAAAATGCATAGAAAATACATTTTCCATCCTTTGAAACTTAGAGTAAGTTGCACATTTTGGGATCGAGTACAGAAATAGTAACCTACAATAGAGTCTTGCTTATCCAACCTTCGCTCATCCAATGTTATGTATCATCCAATGCAGTCTGCCTCCCGCCCGGATCCACAGCTGTTTCAATACATTGCAATATTTTGGTGCAAATTTGTAAATACAGTAATTACTATATAGCATTACCATGTATTGAACTGCTTTTTCTGTCGATTTGTTGTAAATGATGTTTTGGTTCTTAATTTGTAAAATCATAATGTATTTGACATTTAATAGGCTTTTCCTTAATCCCTCCTTATTATCCAACATTTTCGCTTATCCAATGTTCTGCCGACCCATTTATGTTGGATAAGCAAGACTATACTGTACATGCAAAGAGTCCTTATATTTCCAAATGCTGATATGAAAATGTGATAAATTGGATTTGTGAATAACACACAGAAACCTCAGAGAAATGGAACATCAGCCCCATCTACACTGCCATACAATGCAGTTTTGAACTATAGTATATGGTCAGTGTAGAATCATAATATAGCTTGACAGAATTGAACAGAATTGAACAGAATTACGTGCATCTACACTGACCATATAATACATTATATGGCAATATAGATGGGGCTATAAACGTGTCCTTCCAGCCCTAGCTGCATCCCTGTTTGTATACAACGTTAAGCTGGATTGAAACCCTCTTGTCTCCCCGTACTTGGAAAACAAACTTCACAAACGATGTTTACTCTGGTAATACAGATGCATACCCATGCTGCGATCTTTGCTGCTTATCATTTGCCGCATTCTATTTGGAAAGAGCTGCCAGGCTTACATTAAGCTTCAAAGCAAGGCTAAATGATTCACAGAATTGTTAATAGGATGTATCATTGCACAGCTTGAGGTCACTGGTTATGCTACAGAATAAGTATGGAAAGCATTTTCCCCTTCTGGCTTCTTGGGAGCGTTTCTAGGAAGTGACAGTGAGATCTACTTTAGGCAAATGGATGAAGTTGTCTCCTGTTAAGTCAGAGCCAAAGTAGATGTTCTATTTAGCAGATGATTGGACCTTGAAGGCGTTGTTTTTCTTTAAACAAACAGCTCTAAAGTGGGGGGGGGGATCTGAATTGGGACCCTGGCATTAGACAGAAAGGACTTAATCCCTTGCTGCTTCAGTAGTCCTGCTCTAGACTAGGTTTCCAACCCCATCCTTGTTCCTCCCACTTTTTTAGCTGCTGCTAAAAGTCCCATAAGGAGCCCCCGGTGGCGCAGTGGGTTAAAGCACTGAGCTGCTGAGCTTGTTGATCGAAAGGTCACAGGTTCGATTCCGGGGAGCCAACCTAGCAGTTCGAAAACATGCAAATGTGAGTAGATCAATAGGTACCACTCCGACGGGAAGGAAACAGCGCTCCATGCAATCATGCTGGCCACATGACCTTGGAGGTGTCTACGGACAACGCTGGCTCTTCGGTTTAGAAATGGAGATGAGCACCACACCCCAGAGTCAGACATGACTGGACTTAATGTCAGGGGACTACCTTTACCTTTACCTTAAAAGTCCCATTTTTTCTTTCCTCTTCCAATTTTTCTGGGATTTGGTTTTCTCACTGAACTAGTCCATTGGTTCTATTATTTCTTTTCTGACTTCTGACAGTGTATGGCTGTGCATTCACGCTTCAGACAGTGTGAAAAGTTTCAAGAAAAATGGCATATAGCCTGGAGAAAATGTCTATTAATGTTCTTAAAACACTCTTTAAAGTATGGATGGGAAAATACAGCCTGTAGACTTAATGTAGCCCTCCCTGGGTTGACCACAAATAAACAAACCAATAAAAAACGCAAAGAAATCTACGGTCTATGGAGTACATTTTGGTCATGTTTTGGAAGAGGGGTCTGGTCCCTCAGGGGTCTTTTTTCTTAGGCAAAATGATGTTTTTGCCCTCAAATTCCTTCAAACGGGGACCATTTTCTTCATATATTGGCTCCTCAATTCTTTGTCAATTTCTGTTACTAAAAACACTTGAAATACCCAGGGAAGGTTTAAAGTATTGGGAGCAAACTACTTTTTTGTATGGAGTATAGAAAGGGGAGCTAATACTCTCTATCTTCTCTAGTCTTCTAGCCTTCCACAGTTGCCCACTCCTGCTTTAAAGGAACTTTTAAAAGCATAATGAATATATCATAGAATCATAGAATTGGAAGAGACCTCATGGGCCATCCAGTCCAACCCCCTGCTAAGAAGCAGGAAAATCGCCTTCAAAGCACCCCCAGCAGATGGCCATTCAGCCTCTGTTTAAAAGCCTCCAAAGAAGGAGCCTCTATCACACTCTGGAGCAGAGAGTTCTTCCTCATGTTCAGGTAGAATCTTCTTTCCTGTATTTTGAAGCCATTGTTCCGCATTCTAGTTTCCAGGGCAGCAGAAAAAAAGCTTGCTCTCTCATCCCTATGGCTTCCCCTCACATATTTATACATGGCCTTCATCATGTCTTCTCTCAGCCTTCTCTTCTGCAGGCTAAACATGCCCAGCTCTTTAAGCCGCTCCTCATAGGGCTTGTTCTCTAGAACCTTGATCATTTTAGTTGCCCTCCTCTGGACACATTCCAGCTTGTCAACATCTCCCTTCAATTGTGGTGCCCAGAATTGGACGCAGTATTCCAGGTGTGGTCTGACCAAGGCAAAATAGAGGGGCAGCATGACGTCTCCGGATCTAGATTAGTATTTATGCAGGCTAAAATCCCATTGGCTTTTTTGCCGCCACATTTTATAATTCATTACACCAAAGCTTTTCCTACTCATTACTTTTCAGATAAAAATCTGCTATGTGTTCTTTATGGAAAAATGAAGAATTTTTGTTGGAAGTGTCAATGTAGATTGTGAAGAACATTGTGGCTATATGGTGCGGAGATTGTGAACTTCAGTATCTCTCTGGGTTTTGTGGATTTGTTTCTTATTTTCTATTGTCTGCAAATATTTTCTGGTGTTTGTGTTTTCACCAGTGTGACAGATATAGTTGTAAACAATGGGCAGTGTTTTCTTTGGTGTTGATCCCTAAATAAATGTTCAGATAAATAATAATAGAGTAATAGGTTAGAAACACATCTATCAGTTTTACAATTATTTTAAGCATTCATGTACAGCTAAGATGACCAAGAGAGGCAATGTGGTGTAGTGGGTTTGAGTGTTGGACTAGGACACTGGGAGACAATGGTCCGAATACCATAGAAATCTACAGATTTGATTATTCATGGATGTGATTAAAATACTCTCTCTAGGAATTTCTTATTCTTTCAGTGTGATTTTAGGATCTACTTCCTGCCAGGAGTTGAATTTCTGGAGGACCTAGAAATCCCTAGAGTGGTGTTTTCTCAGGTTAAGAAAAAGCATTTTAAGAAACATATAGTTTTGATTTGGAAAGGCTAACTGCTGTTCTTGAGTCAGTGCTCTGAAAAAAGGTGTATGATGTCTCTATGCCACTCCTGATGTTTCTTAAGCAGTTAAAAGAAATGGGACAGATTAATCTGAGATTCACATCAAGATTTTTTTCATGTCAGGAGCAACTTGTGAAACTGCAAGTCGCTTCTGGTGTGAGAGAATTGGCCATCTGCAAGGACATTGCACAGGAGATGCCTGGATGTTTTGATGTTTTACCATCCTTGTGGAAGGCTTCTCTCATGTCCCTGCATGGGGAGCTGGAGCTGACAGAGGGAGCTCATCTGCGCTCTAACCAGATTTGAACCTGTGATCTGACAGTCTTCAGTCCTATCGGCACAAGGGTTTAACCTGTTTTGACACCGGGGGCTCCAAAATCAAGCTATAGGTGTGGGATATATGGGGAAAATAAGAACAGCAAGCACTCCTTTGAATCCATAGTAGCGACTCACAGCACATAAAAGGGGACCTGAAACAAATTAAGTCTGAGTTCATGTTTGCAAATTAGAGGGTTGAGGGGAGAAATTAGGACAACAAACAAAAACAGTCCATCAAATCCACAGCTGCAACCCATTGTGGAGAAACAGTTGTGAAGCTCTTGAAGTTGGTGAAGCACAGGCGTCATGTAACCCTGATAAAATGAAAGATGTCGCTGAAATCTAATTTTAGAGCTGAGGCTCCAGTTTGTTGGATTGCTTGAAAAAAAAAACCTATCTAGGATTTACCAGCATCTGTCAGCAAGTGCTCTTAGGCTATGAAAGGTGTTGCCACACATAGGCAGAGGCCTTCAAGGCTAACACATTGAGTTCAGGGTTGCTAGGTTTTCAAAAACAATAATACAGGCCAGTCTAGATTCTTGATGTGCCATGACGTGCTGTTTAAAACTGCATTATATGGTCAGTGTGAACTCATATAA